ATGATGATAATATAAAATAATAATAATAGTGACAAAAATAATAATGATAATAATGATGATGATGATGATAATAATGATAATATTAAATAATACAAATACAATAATAATAATAATAATATATGTCCGAATTCTACGCAGTCGTAGATTTTCATTTGTGTAAATCAATTTAATTTCTTCCATTATTCCACTATGTAAAAACGATACCGTGTTTTCATTTGACTACGCCATTGTAAATTTGCTACTGTGTATTATCTATTCGTATATTATAATGTTCTTGTGCTCTAATGTAATGCCGACAAACTAAATTTCCAAATGGACCAATAAAATGAATCTGAATGAATCTTAATCTGAATCTGAATTAAAGGAAAACGCATTGCATAGCATCGATGTGCAACAAATGTTTACCGGTTGCTTCTACATTTCACGACACATCTTTCCATTAAAGTAATTGTTTCAGTTATCGATATGAATTCATTTTATTAAGTCGATCAAGTAGATTGATTATATTTATGTTTAGCGCCATCTGGAGGCTACTAAATTCGTGTGAAGTTTTGTTTCCAGTGGATGAAATATGTTGATATTGGAGGCATCTTTGTGTAATATAGATGTTAGATGCACTTAAGAAGGCAGAATGAAGGTATGTAATGATGCAATGTGATGAATGTTATATATATATATATATATAAATGCTGTAATGATGCGATATTCTATGATTAAGTACCTTTCATTCGCACCTAACTCGCTGTGTACATTATATGGATGTAACTTACATTGCACAGTAGCCGAGACGGTCGGCTCACATACCAAATGTTATTGTTATGTAATGTACACTACGGCATGCGATTGAAAGGTACACATATGCAAGAATGTAAACAAAGATTTGCCTAGTTTGAGTTATTGTACAAAGATGAGTACTTCAAGTGCATAATATGAGAAAGTTGTTATATGATTTATACAAGTTTATATTGATAATTAATAGATGGTTTAGTTATAAAGATACATGCTGTAATTATGAACAGAAGTGATACAAAGGATGTAGTTTGACTTGGTTCAATTAAGCATACATACTGGTAGTAACAAATAGTTAGAATTGTATTTAGTTTATATGCAGTACAAGTTAATGTGTGAGATCAGGAAAAGAGCTAAAACAAAGGTTAATACAAGGGGTTAATTAGCTATATTAGATGCATATTATTGATAAGAGTCACCAGGTTTTCTCTAATCATATGTATATTCATGAACAGTTGATTTATGATCCGTTCAATCTATTTTCATTTGTGCAGTTTTTACGGAGCATTTGGAGCAACGAGAGAACAATAGAAACGACCAATAACAAAGTCAAAGATGCTTCCGCTACAGTAATTTTAAGTCGTATTTTCTTTGTGGGTCATCACTAAACATGTTAAATTGATACATCATTCGTAAAATGTCGAAAATACTATTGTCAATAAAGTTATATTTCGATTATTAATAACAATAATAATAATAATAATAATAATAATAATCCTTGCTCTTAAATGCGCATTTCTTTTTCCTTATCTTCTTTTCAACCCCACATGGAGCTCATCATTTTGTATTATTGTCTGTACCCCCAATCTCCCACTTCTTTTTGTCATTGTCTCTTTGTATTATGACCGTGTTCTTTTATCTTTGTCGTGTAAAGTATTGTCTTGTCCCTTTCTCGTCTCTGCTGGCATCCCCCTTTTCTTTCCCCTATTTTGTAGTTCCTTTTGTAGTTACGGATTAGTTGGTTTAATTACTCATTATCCATAAGTATCAGTTGTTCACATTTGTACAAGCATTGCTTTTTAGTGTACCCCTCTGTTTCCAACATGTATTTCTTACATTTGTTTTAAATGCTTATAATTGATATGTAATGTTTTGTTGGAAACATGAATAAATTGAAACTGAAATTGAATTGAATGATCCCAATAAACAAAATCACCTGAAAATCACGTCAATATCAAGGTATCGACTTGAGGGGAGTTACGTTCTTCAAATACCGGACATTTACGTAAATGTGTAAATACGTTTATTGCACTAGGTCACTTAAAACACACGTACACTAAATCACGCAATTGTCAAAGCAATATCACCATTATAATAACGTGATTATCTCTACCTTGGAGACCATGGTTTGGAAACCTAATACTCCCGTGTTTGTTTGGTTATGAAATTACATCTTCATAAACGAAATTATCGCGTCACAGAAACACGTGAAGCGTTAGTGATAGTTTTAGTCAAAATATCTGCGTGAAATTCACGTGCATATTACGAGGCTGACTTGAGATGAATCATGTTCTTCATTCACGTGAAATTTACGTCGAAGAGGAAATACATTACTGTAACCCGCGTTCAACCCAATAATTACGCAAATGTTACACAATAAATGAAACAAAAATAATGACGTTCTCATCCCGTTTCTGAACATCGTGTTTTGGATCTTCCATAATTACGTCTAGGCGCACCGGAAGCAGTTTGGGATTAGAGGGGGTGGGGAGGGGTGGGGGGAGGGGGGGGGGGTGGTTGCAAACATCCCAGAGGAGAAAGCTAGTTGCAACTGGTCCAGTTGATGAACCAGTTAATGCCAACTGGTAACCCCGGAAATTGAAATGGGCTAAATGATCCAGTTGATCCAGACCAGTTAGAATTCAACTGGTGTAGCTGAGCCATTAGAACCATTTGGTAAAACTTTCAACCAGTTGAACGGCAACAACACTTCAATACTGGTACATCTGTATTTCCAATGTAAAGGCATCGGTACTAAGTAGACTAACATAATTTAAATAATCGAAATTTTTTCATATACTTGTATTTTATTGAAATTATTTTAGTTCTAGTTAATGTTTCCTTATTCATGTTTAATTAAATGTAATTTATACGAAGTAGCGAAATGTCCTAATAACTGGTAATTTATATTTGTAGTATTTTCGAAATGAATTGCATATTACAAAATCATCAGTAATTAAGAAATATGCTGTAAATTCAGATAAATTGTTTAAAAAACATAGATCTACACGCACCCCATAGTCAATATGCAAATTAATTGGTGTCAGCTGGATCAACTGGAAATATGCCAATAGTCAGCCAGCAGTCATCAACTGGTGCAACTGGAAATATGCACACAGACCAGTTATCATCTGGTGCAATGAAAAGATGCCAACAGTCAGTTATCAACTGGTGAAAATAGAAATGTGCCAACAGTCACGGGATTATCACCACGGAACTTAAATGGTAACTGTGAAACCATCAAGACACCCAAGAATAACTAATTTTTCACATCTGGAAATCACGGAATACCCAGCTTATATTAATAATCCGTTTGAGTCACGAGATCATCACCGCGTAACTGCTGGCAACTTTGACTACCATTTAAATAGGTGTTTTAAGACACCTAATAATGACTAATTTTTCACAACTTAAAATCACCGATGCCCAGCTTAGATTAATAATCCGTTTGAGTCACGAGATCATCACCGCGGAACTGCTGGCAACTTTGACTACCATTTAAATAGGTGTTTTAAGACACCTAATAATTACTAATTCTTCACACGTAAATATCACGGATTCACAGCTTAGATTAGTAATCAGTTTTAGCTACGTGATCATAACCAAGAAAGTTATGGTAAATTTGAAACCATTTAAAAAGGTGTTTTAAGACACCTAATAATTACTAATTCTTCACACCTAAAAGTCACGTATGCCCAGCTTAGATTAATAATCCGTTTGAGTCACGAGATCATCACCGCGGAACTGCTGGCAACTTTGACTACCATTTAAATAGGTGTTTTAAGACACCTAATAATTACTAATTTTTCACACCTAAATATCACGGATTCACAGCTAGATTAGTAATCAGTTTTAGCTACGTGATCATAACCAAGAAAGTTATGGTAACTTTGAAACCATTTTAAATAAAGAAGTGTGTAAGACTTACTAGAATTACTAATTTAATATAACCAGAGATTCACGGACAGAACAATAAGACGATTAGCCGGTGTAAGTAACGTGATTATTACCATCAACCTTGGATAACCTCTGAAACCAATCGATTAAGGTGCTTACAAGACCAAATAATTACTTATTTATCACCACCATCGGTTAACGGACAAAAAAACTCGTTGCTTGGTCAAGTGGATATTTGGTCATAAACACGTGATTTACAGAGGTAAGTGGAATCACGTTACTCCAGTCGCGTGATAAATTGGTGATTTTTAGGTTAGATGAAAACGTGAACAGGGGTACCTTTTTTGTTTAAATGAAGGCACGTGTCGATAACGTTTAAATTTAGTTCAAAAGGCACCATACTTTAAAATCCCTTAAAATACACTCCCAAAATAGGTTACTTTTTAGTGTTTTGTTTATTGGGATAACACTAATATCAATTTATATAGCGCAGCTACCATATAAATCTACTCAACTGCGTTCTTCACCCTTATTTTCTCTCTCTCTTTCTCTCTCTATCTCTCTCCCTCTCTCTCTCTCTCTATCTATCTCTCTGTTACGCCTCTTGTTCGCAATCTTTGCAATATGCCGACTATTCAATATAGTTATATTCAATGGATGCCAGTTTGCTAATTCGCTTGTTTTTCTCGATCTAATGCATTATGAGGTTTATTCTTTCTAAAATATATCAATTCTTTGGAATTTTTTATTCCCAATTTGGCTTAACTTTAAAAAAAATTCATTTCATATTTATATTTATCAACTATTATAATAGGTTATATATCACGCTCGTTACATCAATTCTCATTGTATTTTATTCAATTGATTTAAATCCGCTCTTCTTTTACTGTTGTAATTGTTTAACCGAAAAAGGCCGGGGGGGGGGGGGGGGTAGGCATTATGCCCCCCCCCCCCCCGCGATTTTCCCCATTGTTCGGGAACGCGTACGGATGGCGCCCCACCGCTCACTGACTTTGATCTTTCGAGCCTGCGCATCTTTTAAAACATTTTTTTGTTGAATGTAGTAATTACTGTCTTATTTTTAAAATTGATAGTGGCAGCACTGATGTGCTTCTCAGAAGTAGGTTATGCAGACAATACAACCAACACTGGGCCTACAAAAACCACTGGAGCTACAACGAATGGACCTACTACAACTGTTGATCCTACAGCAACTACTGCAATTAACTTGACAACCACTGGACCTAAAACCACTACAGGCAACATGACAACCGCGTTCAGCGACATGACAGCCACTGCAAGCAACATGACAACCGCGTTCACCAACATGTCAACCACTGCAAGCAACATGACAACCGCGTTCACCAACATGCCAACCACTGCAAGCAACATGACAATCACTGGACCTATAACCACTGCAAGCAACATGACCACCATTGGACCTACAACCACTGCAGGCAACATGACAACCGCGTTCAGCGACATTACAACCACTGCAAGCAACATGACAACCACGTTCAGCAACATGACAACCGCAGTCAGCAACATGACAACCAGTGAATCTACCACTGCAAGCGACATGACAACCGCGGTCAGCAACATGACTACAGAGAGTGGAACGACAAGCACCACCACGTCAGGTATCTGTAGGAAATATTTAAGTCCTGGTGTTGGTTTGATTCTTAAATCATATGAACTGAAAATATTTCCCCCGTTTTTTAAAGGCCGTTTGAAGGTAATGGGATACCAATAACCCGAAGACATACTATGTGTATAGCTAGAAGATTAAAATCAGCCTTGTGCTCTGTTCGCTATGTGAGCGCGCACAGGTCATTTGACTTGTTTACATATAAGTCCCATTATTTGCTTTATCTCTTCGGAGAAGAATTATTTGAAATTCATATTTTTAATATATCATGTCGACTAGGAACCTCTTTGATAGACGTGTATTTTTGTTGTTGTGGTGATAGTTGTTGTTGCAGTTGTTGATGTTGGTGTTGTTTATAAATGCCCTTTAAGCTTAAAAGTATAGACCACTTCTGGTCATGCGATTGGAATTGTTAAAGAAACGTTGTGGAATCGAGTAAAGGTTGACCATCTTGAATATAAGTATTGGTGTGTACTTCAAGGTTCTGGAATCATCAAAATTATATGAAATTTGGCCCAGTCTTGGTAAAGTTACAAGCACTGTTCACAGAAAGATGTATATGGGACTACCTTATATCTATCCAGTCCAGATATATATAATTAATTCCTGGCAAAATTTGTATCATCACGTATTATTAAGAACATATTTTTTCACATGATTGGTAATAAGAGCTTCTAATTCATTTTTAAGCGGGGGGGGGGGGGGGCGTTTCCAAAACTGGCCTTTACCTTAAACTTTAGAGTTTCCTTTCATATTTGGATCATTCCATAGGATTCGGGCAAATTTTGTGGCATGTCTCCTATCAACCACTAAATAAATGTTTGCTCAAATTGAGTTTAGAATAAAAAAGAATACCCAACATGTGTTTTGAAATACTCTAACTTCATGCCCAGCCATTATTATAGACCCAAATATTATGTCATGTTATATAATTTTGATGTCCATGTTTTAGTATACAGTTATTGACTGGCAGGGGTGTAATATAACATTATTTGAACCGCTGAAGAGAGTTATATTTCCAAAGTGGTTATATTTTCCAGGAGCGCACAGCGCTAAAGGAAAATATGGTCACGAGATAAAATATAACCCCCTTCAGGTCCAAAGAATGTCATATTCCTGCCAGTCAATAACTGATATGTTAGATAGCCTTGGTTTGATTTTTTGTTGTTGGGGGGGGGGGGTCCATATTTTGTTTTGCCTGAAGAAAAAAAAATCGGGGACAATCACAATTTTAGAAAAAAGAAGTGCAAACAAAAAATAATTGGGAAAAATAATATTTCGAGATAATTCAAGAAAAAATAAAACCCTCAAAAATATCTAATATTGCTGATTAAAAAATGGGTAATTCATATTATAAAGCAAAGATTTGAATAGAAGCAACTGAAACAGGAATAGTTTGGCGAGGTACTACTATACACATTATTGCACACAAAAAAATCTTCATTATGATTTCAACTTCCACATGTGTAGTAGAAGATATCATAACGACGTAACATGGACTTCATGACCCCCCTCCCCTCGAAAAATCACTCATGAAACGACCCTCTAATCATCACAGTGACATCAGGAGGAACAGAAGCCCCAGAAGCCCGATGGCAAGTGAAAGACAAGAACGGCAAACTGTGTATGATCATGTACTTTGATGGAACTATAACTGACGTAGGTTTGATCGCTTATCTTTTCTTATTATATCAGCAAGTTTATCTTTATCACAAATATAACAAATTTAATTGTTATCTTATCTTCACTGCTTCGATAATTAGTGAGAATGATGTAGTTTATTTAAAAAAAAAACTGAATGGTGTTCGTTGAAGCTCCATAAACTATCTGCGAGCATGAGCTCCATGACAAATTAATTTAGAGCAGTAAAGAACTCAATTGTGTAGCCCTCGTACCGCGCACATATGGCTGTATGTGTGAATAGCTGCATTTTCGTTTCTGTCCTTGCTTCTTACAAGTTTATTTTAGGGCACAATTTTTTTCCAATAAAACAGTTTTTATCATTGTTGGTAGTTTTTAACATTCAATGTAAACATTGATATACATGTTTCCGAAGGTTAAGAATATTTTTTGAACAAAAGCTTGCCAGTGCATTGTCTGACGTAGCAACAAAATGAATGCCATCCGCAGATATGCCATACGAGTGAATCACTTAGGTGGTAATCAAGGGATCGGGAGAGAAACTATATGCATACATTGGTAAATAGGCTGAATCTATTCTCAGCCTCAACCATAATACCACATTTAGATTTTTCCTGCGAAAAAGAGTTAAAATACCATTGCCAAAATGTTACATAGTGCCTCTGACTGGACAATTATCTACTTGCAGGTCAGTAGTGGTGTGACTGAACAGATACCGTCGTTTGCGTCGACATCGAGATCCAACTGCAGCTCATCTTCTTATTCAGTTTTTGTCTTGGATTTTTATACTTTATTAACTGAATGGGGAATTGTCCTGAAGTTTACCACTAGAGGGGATTCGTTCAAGCTCGACACCCTATCTGTGAGCAGGAGAAGGCTTAGGAGTAAGTTGACAGGGCGCATATTTATCGTTTTATTCGATTTGAATTGATCAATAAAATCATGAAACAAATATAACCAAAAATAGAAATACCAAACACATTAAACACTCTTTTATAAAAGAAAGAAAGAAACAGTCAAAAAAAGCACAATGCTGGCGGAGGATCGTTCTATCACCAATATTCGTAATCGACAGTTACACAAGTCATACAATTTACAATGTATATCGATATTTATATACAATTTATAATATTTCATTGCTCGATTTTCCTTTTTTCGGGGATTTACTGATGGAGGATTATTTTTCTTAATCCCGTTGGCCTGCTCTAGGATTTATTTTAGATTGGGGAGGACCTGTGGAGATGGAGAATATTTTAAGCCCTGTTTTATATTGAATCTATCCGGGATCCAACTATGGAGAAGGGAAATATAAACAATGGAAGGAGAGGAAAAAAATTATAACAAAGTTAAACAAAATAGACTGACAAAATATTAGTCACATCACGATAACAAGTACGTCGAACATTGATATATTCAAACTTTGATTTTATGTGGTGGGGTAAAGCAGTATAGGCCTATTGATAATTATACACAAGGAATGTTACTAATTGTTTTTCCCCAGCGCTACTTTCCTCTTCCGTGACCGGAGACTTCCCTGATGTGCCTCTTGGCGACTATTACATCTGCGGTCACTTCAACTACAGTTTTGGTTACTTTCAGCTCAACCTGACCAAACCTTCGCTCCAGCCTTTCGTCCAAAAAACCAAAGGAGGGGACAGCTTGGGACAGCGTAAGGGATTAATCATTTCGTTCTCCTAGACACAGATAACCATCAAGCCCAAATTTGTATGAGTTAATTAACGATTAAGAAGTTAAAAAAAAGGGTAAATCGGTGCATAAATGGATAATGATTACGTAACTTTCATGAACACACGTATCGAGGGTTTTACAGTTTTTCTTTTACAAATGACCTTTATCTGCCCATGCGCAGATTGTACATGTATCTACGAAGTGGCTTATTGTAGCGTTTTTCATTTTATCTCAATATCTCACCAGCATATGTTTGTGGACCTGGACACAGTGTCAGTGACAGTGACAGTGACGGTGACATTGACATCGGTGACATTGACATCGGTGACATTGACATCGGTGACATCATCGGGATCATTGCTGGAGTCATTATGAGCATAATTGTCGGAACAGGGCTAGCTACTTGTACTTGTTGTAATTGTTGTAACTCAAATTAACTTTGTTGTCAACGGGGGCTCTTTCCCCCCCCCAAAAAGGCCCCCGTGGGTCTTCTCACGGGGGATATTTTAGTACTGACGGGGGCTCTTTTTTTAGTACATATTTCCATTGAATTGGTACCCAAGATACTCCTAAATTCTTTGCTATTTCATCATTATCATTAAAGATAAAGTCGAGTTCTGGTCATGCGATTGCATTGTGAAAGAAAAGGTGTGGAATGGATCAGAAAAAGTTGATCATGTAGCATGTTAGTATTGGTGTGTACTGCAAGGTTCTAGAGTCATACAAATCATAATCAATTTGGCCCAATTTGGTAAAGTAACAAGCACTGTATACAGAAAGATGTTTATGGGACTACACAAATGGTGTCGGGTTTACTTACCTTGATTTCCTTATCTTTCTATGGTCATTACTCAGCCAGTAAATATTTTCTACCAAAATTGTTTGGCAAATGACATGTATTTGTAATCTTGAACATTCAGCGCAAGTTTCATTTGATTCTGTGAGAATTAATTTTCTGTTTTTTTACCAGAACTCAAGTTTGTCTTTAATAGTATAGTATTAATGACTGCTTTGAGAGAAATAGTTGTTTTCATACGCTCAAGGGAAGGTTATAATTGTGCTATTGCCCGAGGCGTGCCGAAGGCAATAGCCCAATTGTCACTTTCCCGAGAGCGTATAAAAACTACTATTTCTCGAATATTAAAGCAGTCATTAATACTTTTTGTGCCGAAAAAATTATGACACCATCTTGGCCTTTCTCCAGTTTATCTGCACGGTTGTTTTTTATGAGTGTATCTTTGAGAGTAGATTAGATCTAGGTCTAGATCTAAATTCTAGTCTAAGCAAGATATTTTTTACAATTTTGGGGGTGGGCCTGCCCTGTGGGGAATATGGAAAAAAACCTGCGCTTTCATATGACACCTCACTTATTGAGTATCACCCTCAGGATCACGAGCAATATTAGTGTGAATCTTTGGTAATCACAACATCGACCAATCTAGCATGAGTGAGCAATGGCCAATGCATAGGGATATGTGTGTGCAATCTCTATGACTATGAGAAGGATTTTATTTTTAGCACTAGATCTACAAGGCCTAGATCTAGATCTACTAGATCTATTTTGAATATATTTATGGACATTTTCACGAACCCTTTTTGGTGTTCTTGCTGTTAGCAAGCGGACACTTTTTTTTTTTTTTTTTTTTTGGTCTCGAAATTTCAAAATTTGACATTTTTCTTCGTTGAGGGGGGGGGGGGGGGGGGTAAGGTCACCTTACCCTTTTAATAATAAAAAAAAAAAAAAAAAAAAAAACCAAAGGGGGGGGGGTTTAGGTTTTTTTAGGGGGGTTTACATACATAAAAATACCAAAGGGGGGGGGGGGGTTTGAACCCCCAACCCCCCCCCCCCCCCCCCCCCCCCCCCCCCCCTGCGTACGCCCCTGTGTGAACCTATGGGTATTTCACCAAGACTGAACTATCTTTCCCGGTAACTGGAAGTTTACAGGGCAATTTTACAGGAATAGTTAAAGTTTATGACTGCAATTTCGACCAATCAGATGGCTGGATTCCTTAAGTGAGGTATATAATCGGCATTATTTCCCTCTTACAACTTGACCGGGGTAATAGAGCCTAGCGCCTAGAGACATCTGTGATAAGCGCTACATAACAGCTAAATATTATTATTATTATAATTATAATAACATGCAGATTATGGTAATATCTCCTCCTCCCTCTGTACAAAATCTCTAGTCCAAGCCCGTATACATTCGGTTGATTCACTGGTTGAGGTTCATAATTTGCTGGTCTTTTGGAATCACCAGATTTCAGAGGATTCACGATTTTTACAACGAAAAATGTCTCCACGTTTCGGTCCTTGCGCGATCGCCTCTAGCTTTAGCAGACATGGGGCAGCAACGTGCACACCAATATATTACCGGTGTGACCGAGTAGAATGTGACCCGCACCGTTCGTCCGGGAATTAGAGATCGATGGAGAGCGGACGATCGGTGCGGATTTTATCCGCGCAGAATGTCCGTGTCGGACATTCCGCGCGCGCCTCAATTGTTTGATGGACAATCTTTGCGAAAGAGATCTCGCACCAATAGTCCGCCTGCCGCACCAACTGTCCGTACTCTAGTTCACACGTACATAGTCAATAGTCAAGTATAATTATTATATATACACAATGAATGAAACGGCTGGATAACCCATATTCAGCTTTGCCAGCGAGCTAGGGATGACACTACAGGTCTTCCCGGCGCGGATTCAGGGTGGGGGGAGGGGGGCGAGGAGGCCTTGCCCCCCCCCCTTCCAAAAAAAAAAGAGAGAGAGAGAGAGAGAGAGAGAGAGAAGGAAAAGAAGGGAAAGGGAAAGAAGATACAAAGGGAAAGGAAGAAGAAAAGAAAAAGGAGACAGAAGGAGATCCGGGGGGGGGGGGGGGGGCCTAGCCTCCCAGGCTGTTGCCCCCTCTCCCCCCCCCCCCCCCCCCCCCCCCCCAGCAAAAAAAAAAGAAAGAGAGAAGGAAGAGAAGGAAAAGAAGAAGAAAAAAAGAAAAAGAGGAGATAGAGGGAAGGAAAGAAAAGAAGGGGATATCAGTTGCAGTTTTCCCGCCAAATAGTTGAGGATCGGGTGGGGGGGGGGGCAAATGGCCCTTGCCTCCCCTTCCCCAGCAAACTTAAAAGAGAGAGAAGGAAGAGAAGGGAAATAAAAGAAAGGTAGGGAAGATCAGTTGTGATTTTTTCCCACCCAACGCGGTGTGGATCGGGGGGGGGGGGGTCGAAAGGAACTTGTCTCCCTCAGCAAACTTAAATGAGAGAGAGAGAGAGAGAGAGAGAAGGAAAGGAAGGGAAATTGAAGGAAAAAAAAGAGGAAGAAGAAAGGTAGGGGAGATATGTTGCGAATTTTCCCGATTTGTACCTCAGCAAATAGAGAGAGAGAGAGAGAGAGAGAGAAGGAAAAGAAGGGAAAGGGAAAGAAGATACAAAGGGAAAGGAAGAAGAAAAGAAAAAGGAGACAGAAGGAGATCCGGGGGGGGGGGCTAGCCTCCCAGGCTGTTGCCCCCTCTCCCCCCTCCCCCCCCCCCAGCAAAAAAAAAGAAAGAGAGAAGGAAGAGAAGGAAAAGAAGAAGAAAAAAAGAAAAAGAGGAGATAGAGGGAAGGAAAGAAAAGAAGGGGATATCAGTTGCAGTTTTCCCGCCAAATAGTTGAGGATCGGGTGGGGGGGGGGGGGGGCAAATGGCCCTTGCCTCCCCTTCCCCAGCAAACTTAAAAGAGAGAGAAGGAAGAGAAGGGAAATAAAAGAAAGGCAGGGGAGATCAGTTGTGATTTTTTCCCACCCAACGCGGTGTGGATCGGGGGGGGGGGGGGTCGAAAGGAACTTGCCTCCCTCAGCAAACTTAAATGAGAGAGAGAGAGAGAGAGAGAGAGAGAGAGAGAGAAGGAAAGGAAGGGAAATTGAAAAAAAACAAAAGAGGAAGAAGAAAGGTAGGGGAGATATGTTGCGAATTTTCCCGATTTGTACCTCAGCAAAGAGAGAGAGAGAGAGAGATAAGGAAGGGAAGTGAAAGGGAAAGAGGAGAGAAAGGGACATAAAATAAAGAGGAAGAAAAGAAAAGGGGGAAAAGGAAGGAAGATCAGTTGCGATTTTCATCGCTCCTTCTATCATCATTGTACAACTATCATTGTACAAATGTTGTACAACTATCATTCGTCGCTGTTTTCACGAAGTGACGGTAGTGAAAACAAATTGCATTCACTTTGCGTTACGATTTTCCTCACTACCGTCACTTCGTGAAAGTAGGGACGCATTGTACAAATGTATTTTTATATTCATTTATTTATTCCTGTTTGAAAACAATAAATTGAAAATAAACTCATAACAGCAACAAAACTGTTTTGCTGGCAGAAAGAAGCGCAAAAATGATCATGCATTTGCATGTACATGTAAGTGTATCATGAGAATTATTCATATTGTTTTATTACATCTTGTGAAATAGTATGCATTCAAGCTTTTGGGACTTTTTGTGTGTATTTGTATGAAAGAAAGCGTTGGAGCTTATAATGCCGCAATTTCAGGTGCAACTTACTGTTCAAATATGGAACACGCACGGCCAGGCACTAATGTAGGAAATCTTCAAATGTTAATCAGGTATATGACTAAATAATTTGTCTGTTGTTGTTGTTGTTGTTTGGTATTATTGGCGTTTCATTCATTTTGTTTTAATATTTACGCCTTACGAAAAAGTTGCCTTACGAAAAAGTTTATATTTAGTCAGGCCTGAATTAAGTGCCAAAACAATTATTGTGTTAAAGGAAAAAAACCTATTGATGACATTCCGAATTCCCCAATAACCAGTCCGATTGGAGGGTGACTCTGTGTGATTACTCGTTTTTTTTTTCTTCTCCTTCAAAAGTTACTCAATAACAAAAGTATTACGCTATTTTGTATGAGTGGGTGGAGTATCCGCCTATAATTTTAATCGTACAAAAACTACAAATTATTTTTCTTGGCATGTTTTTGTTCAGAAGAACCTAGTACGTATAAATGTGTAATAGTGATATAGTAACAACCAGTCTTTTCACCCTGGTTCTGAAGGGTATAAAACACAACTTGAAATCATATTATAGTTATCTTAATTATTACAGGGCAATAAAGTCTAGTTTGTGAAACTTAAAGGAATTGTGTAACTTTGTCTCAGGTTCTGAAACAAAATCCTGGAATTAGCTCATGTTGCAATGATAATTAGGGCCAGTTCTGACCGAAAAAACGACCCAAATATCGGAGCATGGCTAGCTGGACCGGGGCCTAGCGTGGCCTATATACGGATACGTGAGTGCTCTTATGGGTCCACTTCTAACTTGTGTTTTTAGCCCTTCTTTCTTTCCTTTTTCTTTTCTTTACTTTTCTTTCCTTTACTTTCCTTTCTTTTTTTTAAGAGGCGGGATCCGTCTCCCC